GTTTCCAGTCCAAGAGTATTTCAAGATTATATCATAGTCTTCCTAGATTCATCACTTCAAAACCACACTCTTTTTCTGTATTCTTATATTTTCATTTCAATAAGATATGTTTCTTCTTCAACTCTATTCAGAGTTTCTTCTCCCAGTTCTGTCAACTGATAGAGATGTTTCTTTACTCACTTTGTGATGTCAGCTTGTTTGACAAATTCTCTATCAATAAATAATTCAGTCACTCCTGAGTCCACTAAGACCTTTGTGCACATTGATTCAAGTAAGGTTGCCATAATTCTGAGGTGACAGATTTGTCCATTGATGGCTAACAGTTTTGCTTGTCTTCTTACACTGCTCACAGGCTCTCATTCATGACAGTCCACTTGTTTCTCAATTTAACAAGAATCATCTTGGGTGTCTGTTTGTGTATCTTGCAATTCTCTAAGTTGGTACATCATTTCTCATGCATTCTTCTTAGACTTTCAATATCTCTGTATCCTGCACATTCTTCACATTCTTGTAGTCTGTGCAGTGATCTTGTTGTCTTTCACTGTTTCTTACTGTGATGGTAATCACATTGGCATTCATATTTCAGTTCATCATGATATGAGTGGTGTGAGTTGTTCACTTCTTTTTGCTTCTTGTTTCAATGTCTTTCACATATTCATATCAACAATGTCCCATTTTCTTCACAGATCATCCAGTGTAGTTGTTCTCCTCAAATCTATAACATTCTCACAGTTGGACATTTCTCTTCTTCAAGTGTCACACTTTCCATAAAACTTAGTTGCTTCATGACATCCTCTTCATGTTCTTCAAATCCAAGTATTTTTCAACTAGATTCTTCTTCTTTCTGAGTTGCTCTCAATTTCTTCAATGGTCTCAGATAGTATCTCTTGTCTTTTCCATTCTTATAAATTGGGCATTCATCTTCATAGCATAAGCTTCAGTAAATTCTAACATGTTCTGAATGCTCTGTGTTTGACATATTCTGAGAGTCTGATATTTCTCCTTCACTTTCTTTAGTGTCACATCTGCAATATTGATAGTTTTTAATGTTGCATCCATAATCTCTGTGATACATGAAGTTTTTCATAACCTGTGTTCATTGCATGAACTCTTCTTGTTGTTTCTGGTGAAGTTCACATGAACAACTGCAGGTCAGATAGTTCACATATTTCTTGTGAGTTAGATCTTAAATCTCATTCATCTTCAAGTTGTAGTGATAGTTGCACTCCAATGGTTGGATTCCCCAATCATCACTTGATTTCTTTCTTTTAATCACACACAGTTCCTCACACAATTTCCATTTATTACTTTTTAGTTCATTCTGGCACTTGCTTTCATTCTCTGATTGTCTTGATAGTGCTCAGTAGACCTTCATGATGTGCTCTTCAAATGTTTCATAAAACTGTTGTTGTAATTCTTCATCTGTTGATTTCTCTTGAACTGTTGCTCAGAGATAATGTTTTGATTCCTCAGAATTCTCTTCATTTTCTTGTAAGATAGCCCTGAATTCTTTTTCTTTGTGTTTGGCTTTCTTTATTCAACATTGCTTCACTTAATGTTCTGATTTGCTGCAATAGAAACATAATTTGTCTTTCTTTCTCTGTTCTTTTTCTTTTTCATCAAGAGTGTCTTGTCTGATTGCA